GTCTATTCTCTACTAAATATTTATGCGCTGAACACGAATATCAACTTCATTTCCGTCGCAAATTAATAGTTTTTTAAATATTTGATTGTTTTTAACCGAGATAGACATGCTTTGGACCAATCAGGGGGTTCCAGGGGGGCCTGCCCCACTGGGGTAAAAGAAAATCTGGGGGGTTACAGGTGCCCCCCTGTTTTTACACCCATAATTTGATATTTTACAGTTAGATTTGAAATTGTCTTGAAAATAATTTATTTGCGACAGTTTTAGTTGCTTTATGTGTGATCTGCAGCAAACAGTACAGCAGTTTGACCCCTGAAACAGTGCATCTGTGTGCGGGAGTGAAAGTAAAAATTTACCAAAATTTTAACCAATTATACAGCTCTATAACATTTTATATCATTTGAATTTTGGTAAAATAGGCAAGGCACCAGTGTCAGACGAGAGGTAAACTTTTGTCCCTGTTCGAGTTTGTGTCAGCTGGACTTCTTGGTGAAGGCGAAATCCCAAATCCCAATAAATTTCTATTGTTTGAAAGCTGGATGGCTTAGCAGGACCACCATGAACTGATTTTTTTTAAATTTCGGTTTTTCTGCTGATCTTTACTGACTATTTCTGCCGTCGTAAGGGAAAACGACGAATGGTCAACATTTTTTGATTTTGTTATTTTTATATATTTCATAGAGTATAATTCTGCATCTTTTGATGAAAAAACTTTTGTCATATCCTAATCCGTTGTTGCGTAATTGAGAGTTCGTCGTTTTCCCGTACACTGGCGAGCTCCGAGCCAGAGCTCAGTGTAAGGGAGAATGACGAATGGTCGATCGGTCAAGGAACACTGCTCGTTTGGCGTTGTCCCCTGGTCTCTGCCGTTGGGCAAATTCGGCATGGGCGACGAATGACAATTGGTCACTGTTGCGTCAGTACAAACATACTAGGTTTTTTTTTTGCAAACAAACACACCACCACGACCTCCCCCAGAGTAGAATCGACCAGCTAGGTTTATAAGAATGTATCATAGTGTTTCTTTCTGTCTGTTTTCACGTATTAGGCCTCTATGCTGATGGTGTGAATTGACAAGAGCAGAGGGGAAAACGAATTGGAACAAGGGGAAAGGGGTGGGGATGGGAGGGTCAAAAAAGTATTTCGGGAGAAATTTATTAGCACTGCATATTTGTGTCCGCCAGATGTTCACAGACTAACGTCATGTTAGTTTGCTGTCCAGTCATTTGACATCCCAAATCCCAACGATGGTAATAGTGCTGCAATTTGTCTAGCATATGTGTCTCTGGTCGACATCATTAATAAAATTATCAAGCAATTAATGACAATGCGTTATGAATGAGAGTAAATTTCTTTGTCCAACTTAAAAAGTGGACGTATTGTGGCGACACTTAGTCTTGCTTTACGATTTTTTATGACTTGATGGACGTTACAATCGAGTATAATAATGTCTTGCAGATTCAAACTGTCCTTGTCGATCTCTACTTTGTGGTATGTTTTCCGATCCGATCAACTGAATTCTTTATTAAATACAAAGCTTCGCATTACCTCTCCTGAAAGCGTTTGTGAAACAGTCTTATCAGACTGTTACATTTCTTACGTGAAAGTTTGACTTTGCAATGATCTGATCGTATTATTGACATTGTAACATTGTTGATCCCTTTGGTCGTGCAGGGAAAATTTTGCAATTTGCGAAAATAAAAGTAAAACTTTTCTGAAGAGAATACAATAGAGAGATAATATGGAGACCAAACTTTGGTTCCGAATGAGACAGTTTTAAATCAAGCAGTTGAAAATGTGTGCACATCTGATTTGTACACTGACTGTGTAGCATTTAACCAAGCGAGGAAGGGAAACGAAGGACGTTTACCGAGTTATTGTTGGGATATAACAAACACCTAACTTCATACGTATAATAACTAATTTGTATACGTTTTATTTTTATTTGTAGCAACTAGTGCACAGTCATTACTGTCAATAATGCGTCACAACTGACCATCGCCTACGCCCATAAACGTTTACGAGTGTAAAGGAGAACGACGAACCGTACCATTCGTCATTTTCGCTTACATCACAAGGCTCACCTGCGGGTGCGCAATGTAAGGGAGAATGACGAATGTCGAATAACTTTGCTACTTTTTAACCTAAATCATTCAAACTTTAGAAACTGCTTTATGAACACCTCAATCAGATATCTGGGGAATTACAGCTTAAAAGAGTGAAAAATAGAAGAGTTATAAAGTGAAAAGTTTTTGCCTCTCCTGAAAAATTTGCCTCGCTCGCTACCTGCGCAGGACCATTCGTCGTTTTCCCTTGCGACGGCAGATTTCTCTTTTTGAAGGGTGTTACATCGTTTAAAACAAACACAGTGACTATGTTCATGGCACCTTGAATCATCCACCATTGGCACAAAGGCTCGACTGAAAGGCTATGGTCGCTCAAAGTGAATGAGGAAGCAGCACAGGAATCATCATCATCATCAATGCCTTTCACCCCTGGCAGGGTATAGGCCACATATAAGCTCCTTCCATTTATCTCTGTCCTGAGCCGTCCTTCCAAACTCGTTCCAAATGATGAGCTTCATTTCTCTCATGTCCCTTTCCACACATCTCCTCCATGTTTCCCGTAGCCTACCCCTGCCTTGTGCTCCTTGTGGGTTCCACTGCAGTGACTGTCTTGTGATGTTTCCGCTGGACTTTCTTAAGGTGTGTCCCATCTATCGCCACTTTCTTAGTCCTATTTCTACTTCTATATCCTTTTGTCCTGTCCTTTACCACAGCTCTTCTTTTCTTATTCTATCCTTCCACTTTATTCCTAGATTACTCCTCATACGCTGATGGAAGTCTGGACTTTTTTCAGTACTGTGTTTGTTGTCTTCCAAGTTTCGCAACCGTAGAGGAGCACAGACTTGACATTGGAGTTAAAGAGTCGAATCTTGGTGCGCAGTGAGATGTTGCTTGCTTTCCAGACTTTTAATAACTGATTGAATGGTGACCTTGCCTTGGTGGTTCTTGCTTTAACATCTTCCTCGGTTCCACCTTTACCATCAATGACACTTCCAAGGTAGATAAAAGAGTCCACTTCTTCCAGGGGAGTGTCTTCAACTGTCACAGCAGGGCTTGAAACTTTTCGTAGCTTCGCTACTTTTGACTTGCCTGGATGTATATGTTGGCCAACACTCCTTGATAGGCTGTTGAGTTCCTTGGTCTTTTCTTGTATCTGAGCATGTGTGTGAGAGAGCAGTGCAAGGTCATCGGCGAAGTCCAAGTCGTCCAGCTGCTGCCAAGGGATCCACTGTGTTCCATTACGTTTGCCCCACCACAAAAGTAGCTGGTTCTGCTGTTTTTAGCATGCTGCTCAACATGCGCGCGCACACCCACACACACACGACACACACATCATGGAGCACCCCATTTTTCATTCACCATCTTCAACTTCAACTAGAAACAAAGCATAACAAGAACAAACACTTACAGTCTACCCCGCTACTGCTCCTCATCACCATCATGCTCACTGCTGGCCCTGGCAGAGACAAGAAAAATGGATGGACTACCCATACCAACTACATACTCATTTCTACCGCACTTGCTCATCAAAGGGCCCTAAAGTAGCAATCTTTGTTTCTTCCCTTGATTCTCTGACGCAGCTGATGCCATAACACTGTTCCCGTATCCCTCGAACTACGGATTGCTCAAACTACCAGGTACCGAGACCGGTCCTGACGAATTCGAGTCATCCGTGTTATAATGTATTTCTCTGTTGCTGTGTACCTTGGATAACCCATTTTAAATGATAATCCGCATTAGAGCTTGGTTTGAGCTAAGGGCAATAAACTTTTCGGGAACTTTGATCTAAAAAGAGGAGAGAATAATTTGTTCCGGTTTAATTGAAGGCCTACCGCAATGCTTCTGGTTTAGTTAAAGGTTTCCACTGGACCAGTCTATATGGATGTCTACCAGTACCTGTTTAAACACTCTTGAGACATGTGATAGAGAC